AAAAAAAAAATCAAACAATAGAACAATACTTCCAAATGCTGGCCTAACTTTACTTCATTTGTGAGGGAGCTTTGCTCTTACAAGTTTCAGAATCTGCTGTAAATTAAGCTTTATTTTTGTGAAATGACTATATCCTTTGATAAACGTGCCTAGCAGAGATCCTGGGTCGGTCCTCACTCTCAGAGCTTGCACAGATCTTCCTTCTCCAAGCTCAGGACCTGCCTGGGCCTCTGTAGCAAAAAAAAAATGTCAGATTCTGCCAGACTCCAGAGACCCTTCCAGCAAGCAGGTAAATGCACACTCGTGCTTAGAAGCAGGTGAATCTGCGCCTGGCCTGATTGTAGAGGAGAAGTCAAGTTTCTCCACAATTTAAGTGAAACCTATTTTCTGCAAGAAAAATATGAAGCAGAGATAGAGAAAGACGTATGGGGATGTAGGTCACTAATTGTGCTCCCAGACACTGATTTGATGTCTATTCCATGTGCTTTTGGAAATACTTACGTATCAAGGTAGATCATCAATATTAAGATGGGGGCCGCCCTACTGTTTTGGAAGTCCTGGAAGGTTTTTTAGAGATGAGAGCATACCAAAGCAGGATTATATACAATATGCTGTATTCTCATGAATTCTGGCATATGCATGATGACATCCACTTAACACGAAGATGGAGTGACCTCTGGGTATGGTGGGTGAGTGAGGTGAATTGCTCCCTGTCCCTCTAGAAAGTTGTATTTTTTAAAATACATTAGATTAAACATATCAATGAAGGAAAACACATACCAATTTGTCTACATGCATGGGTTGACACAAGAAGTCAAGTGCTTAGTGAAGTCTAAAACCTTAGAAGTTTATTTATCCATATTACTCAAATTTTCCACCACTGGGACAAAATACCGGACACCTACAACTTAAAGAAAGTTTTAATTTGGTTCATGGCTTTACTGTTTCAGCCCATGGCTGGCTGGCTCCGAGACAAAAGTAGTGTGGTAGAAAGGTATGGTGGAAGGAATTTGCTCACCCTGTGACAGCCAGGAAGCAGAGAGAAAGGAGGACCCACAGACAAAATTACATCACTCCAGGTCACGTCCTTAGTGTCCTACCACCACCTCAGCCCCACCTCTTCCATGGCACACTAGCCATGAACTTATCAATGGATTAAGCTGTTACAGCAGGTAGCCAGTGATGCTCATGGAGGCTGAGAAATGGGAACGAGAGCTGGGGAGAGAGCTCAGTGGCATAAGCACCTGCCTGGCGAGCACAAGGTCCTGAGTTCAATCCCCAGTACCAAAAGAGAAAAAAAAAGGGAAGAAAGAAAGAAAAAGAGAAAGAAAGAAAAAGAAAGAAAGAAAGAAAGAAAGAAAGAAAGAAAGAAAGAAAGAAAGAAAGAAAGAAAGAAAGAAAGGAGAATGAGCAAGGTTTCATTTAGCACACATAGATGACACCCCACCTGTTACCAGTCAGGATTGTCAACACTGAAGATAGGAAAGCAGCAATTTAAGCAGTTGGTCCAGTTTCTAAAAATAGTAGGTGATTCTAGACAGGATTAGGCATATTCAGGGTGATATGGCTATAGACCAGGTGATTTCCAGAAAGGCAGAGTACAGAGTTTATCTAATCACGGCATGATAATCATAGTCACGGCGTCATTATAGTATTTGTCAGAAACAGCATTTATCAGAAATAGATATTACTTATACATAGAAACCACTCAGTATATAATTTAGGGAACAAGAATAAGTTCCTTTGAAGTTTAAGGGTTTACAGTGAAGCAAAATGGAGTCTGTCTGCCACTGCAAATCCCCTAATGAGTATAGCGTGCCCATGGTCAAATCATCTTCTGAACACATGAGACTCTTGGGGAGACATTGTGGATCTAAGCCATAATATTCATTCTCTGGCCACCAAAAGGTTCCTGTCTATCTCATTATACAAAAGTTTCAGCATTGCTGAAAAATCCAGGGTCAAAGTCTCCTCCAGGCAGGCTGGAAGCTGAAAGCTGGGGGTGTGACAGGATTAGCTTCCGGGCAGCCAAGGAGCAGCAAGAGAACTGAGGAACCAGGGACAACAGTATATTCTTCTAGCTCATCCCCTAGTGTCCTGCCCACTAGGACCCACCTGCTGACAGCAAATACATCTATAAATGCATCCACAGATTAACACATGAATGAGTAATTCCTATGATCCATGCACCTTCCAAAAGCCCCATCACTGAACACATGAGACTCTTAGCAGACTTTCTAGGTATACACCACAAGATACCCCCTCCAGAAAGGAGAGAGAGGAAGAGAATGCAAGTGATGTTAGAGCAAGAGTAAGGATTTTTAGGGGAGAGAAGGATCCAAAAGGGAAAAGGCTCCTCTGGGTGCTACTGATGGCATTTGAGTTTTAGATTCTTTCTCTATAATTGTTTGTTTTTACAATGCTAAGGCTCAAATCCAGGACCTTTTGTGTTCTCTGTGATATGAATTCAATCATCCTTGGTTAATGAAATTTTGGTAAGAAGGTTGAGTACAGCTGTGTTCTTCATTGGTGAATCTGGTGTTTAGCTGGATAGAAAACTGTATAGAAAAGCCGCATCTAGCATCTACCAGTCCCAAGGGATATGCTTGAAATTTCAGCCTATCAGGGCTTGACATTTTATGGCTCCTTTCGCTGGCTTCCTTTCTGAACATTTCAAATTTAATTTTGAGCCAACTGGACTGTCCTTTCTCAACTCCACAATAAGTTTCCTAGACATTGTCTTAGAATCTTCACTTTTTATTAGCAACAGAATATTACATCTCTACGTCACCATATAATTGTATGTCTCTTCAGTGCTGTAGAGTACAGTGTGTGTGGGTCCTAACATATACTCCATTAGTGGATCTTGGATCTTTATTTCTAATTTCTTTGCCAATATAGCACAATGTTGGATACTATTGCTTTGCTTCTTTACTCATTTTTCTCCTTTCATAGGATGAATTCTGAGATATATAAATGGTGTGAAAAATGCACTTACATTTTTAAAGTTTTCTTTGCAAAGTACTTTTGTTTTTAGGAAAGAAAAGCAGGCCCCCCATGATAGGGTCAGAGTTGGGCTCTTTTACCTCAAACCTCAAATTTGTCAGTCTGACTGTCATAAAGGTCAAGAACTACATGCAGAGCCATGCGATGGAGCTCAGAGGCAGAGGACCACCTTTCAGCACGGGCGTGACCAAGCAGGCAGGCATGGCTGCTCAGGATTGTTGGTTCAGTTGGATGTGAGAAACCCTGCAAGGCAGACAGATCACCAAGGGCCATCTTCCACCTGCTGAAGCAAAAGATGGAAATCAAAGAATGAGCTGATGCTTTCATGCCAGGCCAGGGCCAGGGTGAAACTAGCAGCACCCAGCATAAAAGAAGTCTCCCTAGGGTCCTCTTGATTCTCAGCTCCTCCTAGACACACCCAGGGTCCCTGGAGTTAATCGTGTCTCAGACCCTCTGCTCCCCTTTCTTCTGGAAGGCTTGCCTCACTGGGTAACAGTTCTAGAAAAATATATCTATTCCAGTAGGACAAATGCTTGCAGATTCCAGAAGAGCAAACCAGCAAGCTTGAAGGGCCTAGCCACCCTTCACTCTGCTCACTTTCCCAAGCAGCCACCCTGCAAAGCTCCAGGTTGTAGCTGTCAGCCTGCTCCATGCTCCTGGATATGAGTCAGTCATGAGCAATATGTAAGGAGTCTGCACTGGCCCCCTCCCTCCTCCTGCTTCTATCCAGAGTTTCTCAGCTGACAGTTAATGTTGCCCTGCAGCTCTGCCCCTCAAAACCCTGTCTCCCATTATATACTAGGTCATCTGTCACTTGGCCAGCCAGGAGCAAGAAAAGCCTATGGAAGGCTGTGCTCCTCTTCATTGCTTTCCCTCATTACAGAACCTCTGCCCTCGACCCCTTCCAAGTGTTGAAGTGTTCTGTACATTTTGAGCATGTCCCACATTCTGTCTTCAAGATTTCTTCCCAGAAACCCTGTAGGGCATCTTCTCTGCATATGCCGTACTCTAGTGTATCATGCAGATCACACCACATGGTTTTAACTTGGGTGGAGCCAAGGATTCCAACCTACAGATCTCCTCTTCAGTGTGGAAGAGCACTAGTTTGTGCCACATAGCTGATTTTTCAGCGCTGGTTCTTGAATGGAAGTGCTGGGAAGGAAACTCAGCAGATACCCAAATGAATAAAAGAAGACAGCGAAACCAAGTTTGTTCTGTAGGAGTTCTGCAGGTCCAGCACTTCTCTCTGGGAGGGTTTAGGATAGCATTCTTACAGGAAAGGTGCTGAATCTCCTTACAAAAGAGAAACAACACAGGACAAAATAAAAGAATGGAGGTGCAAGCCATTACAGATCTGGAGTCGAGCCAACCTCTCTGTCGCCCTTTGTGGTCTTCTTGGGTGTACATTTTATCTTTCACTAGATTTCATGTTTTCTGTTGCTTAAGTGTTGCATAATGTTTCACACCAATTAAATTGCATTGCACTGTCTTTAAAATGTATTATTTACTTATTTATTTACTGGATGTATTACTTATTTATTTACACAGTTCAGACTTATAGTGATCCTCCTGTCTCAGCCTCCCAGCTGAGATTACAGGGGTGCACCACCACTCCTGATTTGGAGGCAGGCATGGCATGTGGTGCCTGGGATGGAACTTGGGTCCTTGAGCTTCCCAGACAGGCACTTAGACCAGTAAGCTATCTCTGCAGCCCTGCACTCTCTTCAAAAGAAAATGCTTTACTCTACCTGTGACTTCTGTTTATTGCAGGCAGCTATGGTCCTGAGTTCTGCACACTTCTGGCTGGGGTTATTCCTGGTTCCCACTGCATGCCTGATGGAAGATGTGGCATGGAGAGCGTAAGTGAAAAATCATTTGTAGCCTTAAGTCTTATTCATCTATCCTGCAAGTGTATCACATGAGCTCTATCACAGGAAATTAAGGGATACAAACTTTTCGAAGAATCAGGTCTCCTGCCATTTGCCAGAGCAAGTTTTGTGTGGTGTAGTTTTAAAAAAAAACCAGTTTCCCCAATATGAAAATTCATATAGACAAAGTTTTAAGAGAGATTAAGTGAAGGTAAGGGTGAAAAGAAGTATTATCTTGTACATGACTAGAATGAACTGTTTCTAAATACAAAGTTGTACCTTCAAGCTTAGGAAGCATAACTCAAAAAATTTTAATATCATAAGCTGTTCATAATAAGTGATCACAAATATTCCAAGTTTAAGTTGTATGCTTACAGGAAATTGTATATATATGTCATCTCGAATGACAAGAATGAAAAAAAAAATCTACCTTTTTCTAAACAATTCACAGGACCCTTTCCAACAAAATTCTTCCACAGTGTTCAGTTACAGGTTCATGAAAAAAATCAAACCACAAAAATGAAATTATAATGTAAATTAAGAAAATAACATGTTCAATTTTTGTTTCTGTTCTAAAATATATCGTTTATAAAATGACTGCTTACAATGTGTAAAGGGAAATAACTTAGTCCCAAGATAATACAAATTTTAATTTAATCCAGGAGCAAAAGAGAGATTCCTCCAAATGATATAATCCAGATTTTGGTTTGAATGGGCCCAACTCTTCAGGAAAGTTGGAAACTTCCCTGAAAATTGAGAGTCCTATCTTGGCTACACTTTGGGCAAAGCCTAATTATTTTAAGGCCCTAAGGTAGAGAATTGAGACTTTAATTGAATCCTTCCAGGAAAAGACATCAAGTTTCATTTTATCTCCCCGTTTCTCCCACACTCCATGAAAATTATTCTTGGTTGACAGTTAAGAATGTCTTGTGAAAAAGGCCTCATTTTCACATTGTCTTGACAACCAATCATACTTCATGTAGAAAGAAATAGGGGAAGAATTTTATAGCCTATATTTTGCTTTTGTTTTCTTTTGCTGCTCACTTAATTTTTCAGTTATTAATAAAAATAATTACAAAAATAATAATTGTAATAATAAAAATAATTACAATAATTAAATACTTCTGGTGTATTTGCTGAGACTGTGTTCTGTAAATAGCAGAGTCAGAATCCTCGAAAATGAAATCTAGATTGTGGCCAAGAAAGCTATTTTCTTAATCTACTAGCTGCACTGTGAGTTCTGTCACTTGCTCCTTGAACCAGTAGCACAATATTTCCTGTCTGAATTTGTTGAAGCTTGTATTAGTGAGTTTTGGGTAAGTCCAGCATGGGCTGGCTTGCATTAGATGTCCTTTCAATGTATAGTGATTGAAAAGTAGTGACATGCTTGTAAATTAGTCTCAGACTGTCTTTTTTCAGATATCTTAATGTTATGAAAACTTCATTTATTGAGCCTAATTTTGCCAAGTGGAATTTGAAAAAAAATATTCTTTCTTCCCTGAGAGTGTAGACTATGAAGTCTGTGTCTCCTGGTCTGTTTCTGCATGCTTTCTGACGTGTCCCAAGCACAAGCTCCCTGTCAGTGGAGCAAATTATCTATTCCCTCCAACAAGACTTGATTGTTGCAGGACCAAGACTTGATATTATAGGACCCAACCTGTAAAATTATCACCATTTACATTTTAACAAGAATAAATCTGCTGCATATGGTAGTGAAGGCCTGTAATCTCAGCACACTTGAGGCTAAGGCAAGAGGATTGCCCTGAGTTTGTGTAGCCTGGGCTACACAGTAAGATCAAGGTCACCTTGAACGGCACAGCAAGACCCTATCTGAAAGAAAGAAATAAAGAGAGAGAGAGAGAGAGAGAGAGAGAGAGAGAGAGAGAGAGAGAGAGGAGGGAGGAAGGGAGGAAGGGAGGAAAGAAGGAAGGGAAGAAGGGAGGAAGGATGGAAGGAAGGAAGGAAGGAAGGAAGGAAGGAAGGAAGGAAGGAAGGAAGGAAGGAAGGAAGAAAAAGAATCAAATGACGCTGCTTCCAACTCCACCATACAGAAAGAGTGAAAAGTCACTCCTCCAAGGGGCTTGCCAGCTGAATTGGAGCAGACCCTGGGGCTGTGCTCAGGAACTGTAGTAGGCGGGAGGAGCAGGGGAGGTTGGCCTTGTGTGTTGTCCTGTGAGGCAGCTGCAGACCCCGAACACAGCTTCTGGCAGAGTGATGAGATCTCAGCTCTCAGCTCTCAGCTCTCAGCTGAGCTAAGGCCCCTACTGACATCCAGAAGCACTTTCTGGGAAGCACTTTTGTCTTGCTATATTTGAAAGACCAGAAAATGTGTATTAGCATATTAGTCTACAACTAGGTCACCTTGCCTCATTTGGAATATTTGTGCAAGACAGGTGTCCAGTTTGCAATACCTGCTTAATGTCTAGGGGATAGTCACCCTTCTCAAAAAATAATGTAAACTTTGATTCATTTACAACCAAAGAGAGAAATCTCTCCAAATAAGATAATATAGAAAAAGCCTGAAATATTGTTGGAGCAAATAGATTTGAGGCTCTTTCTAAAGGGATAAAGCTGAGTGCTTGGTGTACCCTGCCAGCCTCACTCCCAGGGCGCACTGAGACAGGGATTGAGACTGGGTGTCATCGTGTGCACCTGTAATTCTAGCACTTGGGAGGTTTTCAACCTCCCAAAAAGTAGTTCTGGGCAATTTACACTTCATACTTCTAATAACACTGCATTAGCCAGGTATCACACGTAATCAATCAATTATTTTAATAAAAGATAGGCTAGCTTGGGCCCTCATAAAAATCTGCTCAACAGGATAATAGGGCAGGCTGAACAGTAAGTGGTAAGTTTTCAACAGAAGGATCAGTACAAGTCCAATCTACGTAGTGAGATCCTGTAGATCTTGTACTAAATACATAAAAAATAAATAAATAAAGGGGTAAAGCATTAATAAATGGATCAGCTCTGGCATGCCAATGTTAACTGTGCTTTCTGAACTGCAACTTTTAAAAATCTTTTGTTTCTATTTTCTTCTTGCACATTGAGGAAGCACTTGGTTTCCGTTGTCTGATACTTATCGAGGCATGATGCACTGTGACGTACCTTAAAATCACAAGAAGAGGTTTAGATTAATGAACAGGGATTAAGGAATAGTTGAAGAACACCTTTTCTTTTTTGGCGGGGGGTTGGGTGCTGCTGATCGAACGAACGCAGGACCCGGAGCACTTGTCTGTGCTGCCCTCGCTTGGGTGCATGGCCCCGAGGAATTGGTGTAATAATAAGAGCGGGTGTGTAGCTGTGGTGCTCCAGTCTTGCCTCAAGGCAGTCACAGAAATGGTTTTTGTCTTTGGTGCTTATGCCGGTTTCTTTTTTCTTTTCTTTCTTTTCTTCCATTTTCTTTTCTCTCTTCTCTTTTGCAAATTCTCTTTATCAATTCCTAGGCTCCAGCCACTCTCCTGCCTCAGCCTCCAGTGGCGGGGACCACAGGAGCGTACCTCCACATCCGGGTGGTCATGCTCTCTTTCTAAAGGGTGCATTAATTCTAGTACAGGCCATGCCTGCCTTCTCAGACTTCTGTGAATGCCTAAAAAACGTGAGTTAGTTGCTCCACCTTGAATTTTCCTCCTTTTTGCCTAGTTCCTTACTTCTAGCTCAGGACCTGGGCTGTTAACAGTAAGCAGAGGAAAAAGCAGAATGAGGTAATTCAGCCATTTTTTTTCTATGGAATCTGTCATTGATGGATGAAGATCCATTAATAGACTACTTTAAGTCAGATTTGGAGTGCTGTAAAATGCCTGCCCGATTACCCTGTTCAGCAGAATTTTTACGAGGGCCCAAGCTAGCCTATCTTTTATTAAAATAATTGATTGATTACATGTGATACCTGGCTAATGCAGTGTTATTAGAAGTATGAAGTGTAAATTGCCCAGAACTACTTTAATATCCTTTAGCTTACACTCTTTTGAAATGCTTACCTGTGACAGATGCTTAGGAAAGTTGCCACGCACAAATTTTGATCTACAAAAAATTCCTTAGTGCTGTTTTATAAAAATAATACAGAGTTCAAGGCCACGGAGGCAGAATAAACACAGTCCTATTATCAAACTTCGTCTTTTGTCTGTGACCAGGCATTAAGCAGTTCGTTCCCCAGTTCCAGAATGACTTCATTTCCTTGTTGTAATCATAGGTAGGCAGCTAAGTGACAATAAAAGGTAATAAGCAGTTTCTACATACAAAGAAACCTGGCTTGCTTTTTTTAAAATATTCTAACTAAACTAATTTCTCTTAAAACACATTATATTTTCATACAGTTACAGTTTAACATTTTCTTTTGGCTTGCATTCAAAGGAAGAAGTCCAGAAGAAAGTCTCAGACTAAAACAAAAAGATAAAAAGGTCAAGATCCTAAATGAAAGTGTGTCTTTTAAAAATCTCTAAGAGCCTGGAGACAGCCTGCACTGTATCTGGAAGCCCACAGCCCCTGCCTCTCTCAGTAGCCACACACCCGCCTCTGTTCTTTCTCTGCTGACCTAGTATCTTGAGCAGGGTGAGATGAACCAAACCCTGGCTGCCACAGCTAAGCCGTGTCTAGATAATCAGACTTGCTGTGTCAGAGGTGTGACCCACACCCCAGCTCTTGGCCAGATGACTCTATGTACCAGCGGCTAATGCTTAAAAGGCTGACTTGATAAGCTATAAATAAGAAGTTCAGGGAGACTTTGACAGGGAGATGTTAGACTCCTTTTTCTAATTTAGGCCTTAATAGGCTGAGGTGCTTCAGACAGTGATGTCGTTGCTAGCATCCTTTCTACTCCAGTGCTGCATGCGGACAGAGCAGCCGAATCACTGCCAGCACTGCAGCCCGGGTGCTCGGGTAGCGGCACAGTTCCTACACTAGCACACAGATGCCAGCCTGTAGAAAGTCTGTTGACTTGCCTTGTGAGCCTCATCCTGACATAGTGTCACCCACCAAGATCCCGGGAGTGTAGAGGCACTCAGGCCACTGCCCTCTTAGGCCGCTTAGTGAGTGGAAAAAACTGGTGGTGCTAGTGTGCTGGGTGTCACATTCCTTTTTACTTCACCTACATTATGGATTTCCAGGCCCCTGAGCCCAGTGGGCCTCCCAGTGACTCCTTCTTAGCAACCCTCTTGTGTCCTGCTCTGGAAGCCCACAGCCCCTGCCTCTCACAGTAGCCAGATGCCGGACTCTGTCCTTTCTCTGGTGACCTGGTATCCTGAGCAGGATGAGATGAACCAAGCCCTTACTGCCACAGCTAAGCCATGTCTAGATAATCAGACTTGTTCTGTTAACAGTGGGTGGGAGTGGATCTAGGATAATTCCCTGCATGAGAGGAGATGGGTTGAGGACCGTTCCAAGAGAGTGAAAGGGCTTGCTGAGTCACTTTCCCCATGGCTGGGACAAAACGCCTGGACCCACAATGAGAGGGGAGATTTATTTTGGGTTCCAATTTTAGTCCACGTTCCAGTGACTGTGAGACAGAAAGAGCACAGCAAAGGGGCACAGCAGAGGAAGAGGCATTCACCCCATGGAAGCTGGGAAGCAGAGTGGCAGGACTGAGCAGGAGCTGGGCAGAGCAGGGTGCACACTGGAGAATTTGAGAATATGTACTTGCAGGTCGTGTCCCTGCTGACCCAGCCTCTAACCAGATGTGAGACTCCTGGGGGACAATTTACATGTAAGCCGTTCCAAGCTCACCCATCAGGACCTCCTTCAAGGCTGCCCCAGCACCTGTGTATTGGAGGTCTCTCTCAGTGGGCGGAGCAGGCTACTCTTCATTTATTATCCAGATAGCCCCATGAGCTCATGAGATAAAACAAAGCTCAAGCCCAGAATATTCAGTAGTACCGAACAGTACACACTGCAGCATCCTTTTTTGCTATCTCCAGCAAAACATTGGCCTTTCTCATTTATTGTTTAAGTTAAAATTCCAAAGTCACTGCTTTGAACTGTGGTATTTTATCAACCCTGGGTTTCAGAACACCGTTTGAAGTAATGAAGGCATGAGGTGTTAAAACCTGTACGGCTTGCTCTTGTTTACTTTGTGGGGAAGGATGACAGGCGCGTATACAGCGCCTTTGTGCTGGTACCCCATTACAGATTAACGTGGAGTGTCGGGTGACTCGGCCTTATCTTAACGGGCTTTCTGTCTTTGAAGCTGGAGGACTGGAGGAGGACGCAGCACTGTGGAAACCACCCTGGCCTTCAGAGTGTCCCGTGGATATGCTTTTCATCCTCATGTAGAAGAGTTCAGTAGTGGCTCTGTCTTTGACCCTGGTACCTGGGCTCCTCATATGCATTTCTAATGAAATGAAACTGATCCAAAGCTTTTCATAATAAGGAACGCTGCCAGTCTTGCTGATATATGAGCCTCCTCATTTTTATAGTGTTTCTTTTCCCTTATCTAACCAGACCTTATTAAATCTCTTTTCTTCCCCCATATCCTCTTCATCCAGTAGTTCACTTTTGTCTTTGTTTAGTCTCATTTGTTTCTTAGCTGTTTAATGCCCACACAGAGAATTTATTCAATAAGGAAATAGAAGACAGCATTCTGAGTGGCATCATAACCCCCATTCCTTCTTCGATAGTGATGTTTACACCCAAGAGGAAGAGAGGAAACCCTGACCTCTGGGCACTCTGGCTGCAGTTGGGCAAGGACCACTGCAAGGCCTGGGGTTTCAGAGATCTCCTAGGCTAGGGGGTTCTGCAGTGAAAAGCTTCAGGGGCTGACTCCACACATCTTTGCTCAGCACAGTGGGTATCTCAGCTGTGTCTGCAGACCATCAGCCCTCTGGGGGATGACTTCCAATGTGTGGTCTGGGTCTTACCTGCAGCACTGTGGATGCTTCTGGGCTGTGCAGGTGGTACTCATGTTGTCCGAGAGACTGTGAATGCTCCATGATGTCCAAGCCTTGGTCTCACCAGAGGGCATCCAGGTGTGCAGGGCCAGGGACACCAAGACTGGATGACGAATCAGGTTCTCATGCCATGTTCTTTCTTTTTCCCTCGATACAGCGCCAAGCACACTTACAAGAAGACATTGCTGGAGGAGGTGCAGGAGCTGGAAACCAAGTCCAGAGTGATGGGGAAAGCGATGCTGAAGGACAGTAATGGAAAGAGGTAGGCCGCTGTGGATGAGGAAAGGCCGGGAACTTTCCCAGCTTTCTCCCTTCCATCTCCTCACTTTGTTTTTCAGTGAAAGCAGAGTATGGTCAGTTTTAACCATTTGGGGTATTCTCTAAGAATGTCATCATGACAAGGTTTAAACTGCACTTCCTTCACAGATCCATGAGTTCTTTTTTTTTAGTTTTATTTTATTGAGAAACAAATATCAATGAGACAGTTTCAAAACTGATTAATAGGACAGTTTCAATAATTAATACATTGTACATTGTTATCTTCTTAGCAGTTATCCATAGTACAAGATGCAGACAGAATATCGTGTCCAAACACTATTACTACAAATTTTTCTTCTCATTGAATTAAGTGAAAGAAGCTGTATATCTATCCTAACTAACCTGCATGTACAGATAAAAAATGTCCCTTCCTCTGTATCCCCTTTTTTTGTTTAGTCCTGTCAGAAATGGGTATTCCATTGGCATCTAAATACTATAGGTGCATGAATTCAGCAAAACAATCCAACACAGTCCAGCAGTCCACAATAGTAGTGGGTTATCCACAGAAGTTATTGACTTGAGCCTTTCACAGCTCAGCATATTAATATGGCATTACTTTATATACCTCATTTTCATACTTTTCTGCTGGATGGTTAAGACCAACGTAAAGCAAGACCTGTATAACAAGAAATGTATCTCTTGTATATGATAAGGTCAGTCAAGTACCCTCAGGATTATCCTGTAACCCTGTACCGCAATTTGTAGATCCTTGGTCAGTGTCAGCCATGTGGATGAGTCATGGCCATTGCTTGACCAATTTGCTCTCTGTGAAAGCCTGAGAGAATGTTTTCTCTCCATGTGACTCTCCTTAGGCACATTCTACATCATAGATCAGGTTGCTCTGTGACCCCATAATCTCCTTGGTCAAAAAATTTGGGACACAGCTGAGTTACCTGATGTTCCAGTATAGGTTCTCTTATGTCCTGAGTCTTCATTGACCTTGAAAAGCAATGGTCAAAATGTTGACTGTCCTTGCAGCCCTTCTATTTCTCTAATTTTTGGTCTACAAACTTAGGTTGTTAACCCTCTAGAAAAGAAGCTTATTATTACCCTACAACTTATGCAATTGGGTTTAACTTCACTATCTGTCTGAATATCAAACATCTTAGGCATAACATGGAACAGGTATATTCCATCAAGTATTGATATGTTAAACATTATGTCCCTACAGAATATGGAGATAAAAATTTTAAAAATGAAAAATATTTAAAGAATATGAATAAACAATTACATATTTTTACACAGAAATTTAGAAATTTAACCATATACAGCATTGTAGCAGGACAGTCCTGTGACATTTTTTTCTTTTTTGGGCGTCTTTTTTTCATTTATTACCCATTTTTAAAAAATCCTTTTACTTGTTAGACAGTATGGTAATAATTGGTATGTCATGACAAGAAGTATGTATTTAGAAGACCAGAATGACAGGCATTCCAAGTGTGACCCTTCGATTACACATTGCTATCTTCAGTGCAGTTTCTTGGTTCACAGGTATCAGCATATATATAGTTAGGGTAAGAATCCTACTAATTAACTGCTAGTTTCAAAAACCTACTGGTGCTCCATGAGCTCTGACTTCTTGGCTAACTGTCCTGAGGTAAGGCTGGGCTATGATTCAGTTTGCAAGTGACAGGGTAGAAGAATTCAGATTAGCAGCATGACAGAAAGGGTCTAGAATTATAGCTCCAGATGGAAGCAGATCAGTGTACCCAGGATGAATATCCCCCTTGAAAGTGAGCGCTGAGTGATGCATAGTTAGTTGTTAGTATAAACTCCTTGCCCTCCACTTATTGTACACAGAATGGAGGTATTTTTAATGAATTATTACTTTCTACTACAGTTGGGGGAGGTTGTGGGAACTTCTGGCACAGAAGCTGTGGCTTTCTGCCTTTGTCTTTCATGGAGCACTAGCCTGCTCATCCCCATACTTGACATCTGGGTGTGTGAGTAATGCCTGTTTTATTGCATGTGTTAAAAATGTTTGTAGAGTGCATTTGTGTAAAACCTATGTGCCACCAAAGGAGACTTTTCTGTGCCCAGGAACACTTAACAATGCTAGAAAACCATTGCTATATTAGGATATGGAAGGTCTAAGTGCTTAGAAGGAATCTGTAACTATGCATAAAATGAACATGTGCAAGTGGAATGACTTCTAGAAACTCTTCCTTCATGTTGTTTTACATTGTATTTATCTGGGGTATCTTTAAAAGCAACAAAGGTAATGCAAATTGTTTTTGTTTTTATAGTTTTTTGTTGTGTTGCTTTTGAGACAAAGTCTTGCTATACAGTTCGGTCCTCCAACTCACTTGGAGCCCAGGCTGGCCTCAAACTCACGGCAAACTGCAGCCTCCCAAACACAGGGTTACAGGCAAGCGACACCAAGCCCCACCCAAGAAGATTTTTATTTTTAAAAGAAGGAAAACTCAAACGTTGTAAGAAGCTTCAGTATCATTTCAAATAATTGTTGATATTTTAGGAAGGGGATATTAATCTAGGATCTATGTGATTGAAGTAGGATCTATGTGATTGAAGTAGTGTTTGGTTTTATTTGTGAGTTATATTTTAATAAGTATATTAAGCATTCATTGCATGATAGCTATGCTAGTCACCTTAAAAATTATTGGACAGAAAAATGTTGTCTTCATCAAGCTTAAAATCATGACTATGTGGGGCTGGCTACTCAGGCCTATAGTGATTTCCAAGGGAACAGAGCCAAACTGAAGCCTACTCAGAACTCTCATCTTTCAGACAGTTTAGACACAAGGTGGAAACCTGTTATATTTTTAACAACCTGTAACACTCTTTGAGTCCTGAAGAAAAGCATATTTATAGGCTCCAAAGTAGGCAGTGTAGGACCCCAGCAAGTTGAGGTTAATAAATATTTAAAACTCTTTGCAATTATATCTCTTTTAATACCTGTTAATAAGCATAATAGGCTTTCTCATACTTGTTAGCAGCATATAGACTCCCTTATATAAATTCTCAAGTGTACACAAAATTGCTGAATAAGTATAAATAATTTCTAAAGAAATTGAGAGTTTATCCCTCTTTTTTTCAGGGCTGGGGATCAAACCCAGGGCCCTCACAAGAATCCAGGGCTCTATCCTGGGGCCATAGTGCCAGCCCTAAAATGAGAATTTCAAAACAAAACTCTAGACCCTAAACATTTCACAGAAAAGCATTAACTAGAAAGTGATGTGAGAATGCGTTTTCATGTGTTTTCTCTGATATGGACCATGGTCCACTCTGGCCTCTGAGGTTCTTAAAGCGGGCCTGGTGCTCTGGTCAGTCACATGGACATCCCGAAGAGGCATCAGACCCAGGAGCCACACGGCTGGAATGATCAGGAAAAGCTCTGTGTTGGAAAGCAGATGGATACCAGGGCCATTCCAATTCACAGGAGTTGAGCAGGCCATGGGGATGTGTTTGCAGAGGCACAGACCAGACTGTGTGAGGCAAGGCCACTCAGTTAGGAGGGTGGCAGGTTTGTCATAGAGATCCGGAGCCTGGGTTTGAATACTGACTCACCCATTGAGCCGTATGACCTTGGCCAAGGCGGTCATATAATGAGACCGTCTCCTCTTCTGTCATAGAAGAAGGCTAATGGTTTTTGAGGTTGGGGTTCGGGCTTGTGAAATGTCACACACAACACAGCATGCTGCCTGAGCTATTGCAAGAATGCAACTTGTTAGTCATGATTATTCTGTGTGACCAGTGTGGTGCTGGATGGAGTCATGCTCTGACAGCCATGCAGGAGAATGTGAGAAAACTCCATCTCTACGTGTTGATAAAAGGAGTATGTGTGTGCACATGCACGTGTGTGCAGCACGCATGTGTGCATGTGTGTGTGTGTGTGTGTGTATGTGCACACATGCTAGAGATGAGCACAGGCCACATACCAGAGCCCTTACATATGACTTTAAAAATTTGCTTTTCCTATTCAAAATTGAGTCTTTAATATTCAAATGGATATCAGAAGACAAAGTTTAAATAGCATTTCCTACCTGTTCCATCTAACGATGTGTTTTCTTATCCCTTTCCAGTTGGTGTGACTGTATGTGCACATGCATATGTGTGTACACAGTATGTGCACACCCCTCTTAGTTACCCTGCTCCCCTTGTTTCTGGGGCCCAGTCTCTTCCTCCCTCCCATGGAACTGTGAGCCAGGAGACAGAGTAGGGCTCTGCAAGGAGCACACCAGTGCCCACCCTTTGATTTTCCCTCCTAATTGCTCCAGATTTTCTGGGTGGTCCATCTGTGAAGTAGATAATGGAGGCATGCTGCTCTTTTTCAGAGACAGTTTTGCCCTGCTGCCTCACAGTTGTTGGTTTATCACCTTTGTTTGCTCCTTTCACACCTGCTTGGATTTCTATGCAGTTCTGCTGCAGGGGGTTGGGGAACTAGAAACTTCAGCTGGTTCTTATGTTTGAAGATTTTATGAATTCCCTCTTTTAGAATTCTTGGTGTTTTTGTCCCCTTTCACATTGTCTTGTCCTTTCTTTCTTTCATACCCATCTGCTTTTTCATTTTTCTCCTGTAGCTCTCTCCAGCTCTTAGCTTGATGCATAGTGGCAGCTGTGTAGGTATTTGTTGACTGACTAATTCGAGATGCAAAAATCCAATGAGGTGGTGGTAAGGAAGGGAAGGTGACTAGTTGCCTGAGGTACCGGCTCACTTTGGACCTCAGGGAGAGTCTATGAGACTCCCTCTTGGGGAAGACTCTCTCTTGGGGAAGGGGTGATTAATGTGATTGCCAAGGAGCAGCACTGACTGAGAATCCCGAATGGAGTGGCACTGCACACCAGAGACAGGCGTGACATTAGCGCCAACCTCTCTGTGTGAAGATGTGCGGGCAGGAGCTAGTCCTGCATCCATGCCCAGGCCCAGCCTCCATGTGAGCCCACAGCATCCTAACCATGGAGACTCACTCAGCCCACTTTGGC